TAAGGCAGCAGAGTCAGGTGCCCAAGCTAACGGGGGGCTCGTCCTCCTTCCTGCCCAGCGTTTAAAATGAAGAAAGACATCAGGGAATCTAATCGCTGGGGAAGATGAGCAGAGAGGCAGCGGGGTGCACGACATCAGGTGCAGCCAGACGCAGCTGCCATGTTGGATTTCAATCTGTAATTAGGGATCATCAGCTCCCAGCCACCGACCCAGGCTGGATGTCAGCCTGCGGTACCTCATTTACCTCTTCGCTCCGTGGGGCACCGTCATCCCCACTTAACAGATTCAAACCAGGCTGGGAGGAGGCGCCTCTTCCCCGAGATCCACAGAGAGGCACAGCCCCTGGGACTCGGCCCTCGGGAACACCGGGAACACCGGGCTGGAGGGTGGACACAGCAGGACGCAGCAGCCACGTGGCTGGTCTCAACTGAGCCAGGGAACAGGTGGGAATTACACACCAGAGTTCAGTGACTTCTTTTTCAAAGAATGCAAACTGTGTCAAATGTCAAAGCTGTTTCAGAACTTGAAATAATTCTAAGTTCATGGAAAGTGGCAAGAGTTTGCAGAGGTCACAGATGCCCTTCATCCAGCTTTGCCCACGGGAACAGGGGGACAGCTTATGTGTTTGTCACACAATATCCAAACGAGGGTGGGGCGGGACACATGGCTCTACCCCTAGGCCATTCCGTCATGAGTGTTGAACTGCAGGACCACAGATGCAATACAGATCTAGAGCTGTCCCACACACAGATGGCCCAGCCCTGGATACACTTAAAACAAATTATATGCTAAAATATTACATTGGAAATATTGGGCTGGGTCAGATAGATTATAAGTTAAGGCCCCACATTTCTTTTCCTTTAACTGTGAGTAACAGCAAGGTGAGGCGCCCACAGGGAGCTTCTGTCTCCCCCAGAGAGCTCCGGCTTCGGAGTCTAGGTCCTGCTCAGCCAGCGTGGACAGCTGCTTGGCCTCCCCAGCGTGGCACCTCAGAGATCAGACCTCTCAAGTCACAGCACGAACATCTGTGCATTCAATGCATTTATTGAGTACCTACTATGTGCTGAGCTTCAGTCTAAAGGTCAGGAACACAGAAGAAGGAGACCGTGTCCTTGTAGAGGGAGCAGAGGTGTCCTGTGTAGTCCACACGCAGGACATGGAGAGGGGTGTCTATGGCCCTGCCAGGTGGGGGGCCTGGCAGGGTTTATTGAACCAGCGAGGCGAGGCCCGGCTGCAGCACAGCACAGACACACAGTGGCCCTGGTGAGATGGCCCCTGCAGATGAAAAGCAAAGGTAAAAGTGCTGCTCAGAAAACTCAAGTTGTCCTGTCCCCAAGCAGGGGACCTGCAATCCCACCCTCAATGCCAATACCTACCAGTTCTCATGCAGAGGACACCGGAAGGAAGTGACTGTGGCAGAAAGAGCCCAGCCCCCAGAAGGTGCCGCACCCAGGGTGACTGTTCCTGGCAGAGCCTTTGAGAGCCGCCACGGAACCCAGCACCCAACCCCCAACCCCCAGAGCAGGTCGCCCCAGGGCTCAGCCCCAGCCCCACCCCGGCTCACCTGGAGGGCTGTTTAAAAAGTTTGACCTGAAGTTTTGAACCTGCAGACAAGCAGGCCAACAAGACAAGGCCACGTGGGCAGCCTGGACACCCTTAGCTCTTGGAGTCTGTGTGGAGCAGCTGGGCCTGGCCTGCAGCCTCGGCATGCAGGAGCCATGGAAAGAAAAACAGAAAGAAAAGAAAAGACACATTCTTAGTAACCACAAATCACGCACCATCGGCACCCAGGAGGGGACTTTGTATCCAGTCTCTGGGCTAAATCCTGTCCCCTGCAACCAGCACCTCGGGACAAGGCTGTCTGGGAAAAGGGTCACCGAGTGGGGGTGGGCCCTACCCTGTAGGACTGGCTCCTCATAAAAGATCAGACACAGGGGAGATGACGCGGAGTCCCAGGCAAGACCGTCTGCTCTCGAGGACAGGGGCCTCGGGGGACTCCAGCTGCCCACGCTTTGCTCTGAGCTGGCCCCAGAGCTGAGAGGGGGCAGGCTCCGGGAATGCCAAGCCCTGGGACTGCAGTTATGGCCCCCGGAAGGAGAAGGAATGGGGTCCGTATCCAGAGCTGAGCTGTGAGCGGCTGGGGTGGGGCCCAGCATGGGGCTGCAGGTGCCCCAGCCCCACTCCCTGCTCCCCTCCCCTAGCCCTGAGGGAGGTGGGCAGGTGAGCCCCACCTGCCACGGGGGAGGCGGAGGAGTGTCCTCCTCAGGGTCCTCCGGCTCCTGGCTCAGTCAAGGCCCCTGGGAGCTCGTTAAACCCAGACACCTGTGCCCAGACCTCCCACCCACAGGCCCTGAGTGGCATCTACCGCCTGGTTTCTTTGTTGTTGTTTCTGTTTTTATTGTTGTTGTTGTTGTTTAGTTGTAGTTGGACACAGTACATAATTTTATTTGTTTATTTTTATGTGGTGCTCCGAACCCAGCGCCTCCCGCGTGCTAGGTGAGCCCTCCACCACCGAGCCACAGCCCAGCCCCCCACCCCCACCCACGAGGTCTGTTTTAAGGAGCCTCCTGGCCCCTGGCCCTCTGTGCACTCCATGGCCTCCAAACTAGCCCCTACACCCATGGCCCAAAACAGGGCATCTCCTTCCTGGCCCACAAATGGGTACAGTCTCCAAAGCCTGAAAGAAGAAATCAGAAAAAGGGAATATCTCCTCCACGCCTGGTTCTGCTCCCCAGAGGCAGCGGACGCTGCAGGCTTTGTGTGGATTCCCCGAGTCCTGGGAACACCGTCTCTCCCACCCGCAGCCCTTGAACACAGACATGCTACCTGACAGGTCGGTGGTGGTGACTTAGAACAAAGCAGCCCGCCCGGGAAAGGGACATCAAGCAGGCACCCACGGAAACACCTGTCAATCAGCAGGATCTCCTGACCAACGCCTGTCGGTCAGCAGAACGCCCTGGCCAGTCCTGAAGTTCAGCCAGCTCCCCTGACCAACTGCAGCAGGACAAGGGACCCAAGCCCTTCCCTTCCTGCCAGGGGCATCAGCAGCAGGAACGGGGTGGCGCCTGCACCAGGTCTGGCCTGTCCCACCTCCTGAAGGGCGCCTGGTGTTCCACGGCTCCTGCGTATTTGGAGACACTTCTGGCTCCAAACCTGTGCTGACCAGTGCCTGGTCCAGGCCACAGTGCGGCACCCCCAGAGAGCCAGGTCTGCATCCAGGCCGGGTGCCAGCATCGGCATTGAAGTTTGAGAAGCACTGGCCCAAACAGAGCCGTGCAGGCGAATGCATGTGCCACCCTCCCAGCCCATCTGCCCACCCTCCTCAGAGCGGAGAGGAGAGGTAGGCGTCCTCCTCTGAGCGGAGAGGAGAGGTAGGCGTCCTCCTCTGGGGCTGAAGTGTGTTTTCTGGGGTCAGTCTGTATTAGCTTCCTACAGCTGCTGTAACAAAATACCACAAACCAGTGGACCCTGAAACAACAGAGACTTCTTTGCCTCACAGTCCAGGAGGCCATGAGTCCAAATCCAAGATGTCCACAGGCTGGACTCCTTCTGAGGCTGGTGAGGGAGACTCTCCAGGCTGGGCTCCCAGACACAGTGCTCCAACCTCAGTGGTCAGGGCCTCCTCCCGGCCTCCCGCAGTCTCCGCTGGCCACCACCCTGGGCTGTCACCAGCACAAATCTGCCCGGCTCGGCCCAGCCCACCCGAGCCGCCCCACACCGCCAACAGGAAGGGGCTCTCCCAGGTCGCCTCAGGAAGGGCCGAGCAGCACTGGCCCCAGCTTAAGCCCAGAGAAGGCCATGGCCTGGGAGAGCACGGCATACTGCCCCTTTGTTAGCACAGAGCTCCGAGGGCCCCTTGGTACGCTTCCGGCAGGACCCCACCACCAACGACAGGCGTGGCCCCTCATCAGCCACAAGCTGGAAATAGGAATGACGCCGCGGCTGCATTTAAGCCCGTTATTAACCCCTCCCGGCTTCCCACGGTGGCCCGCGGCCAAGCGCAGGCCGTGCCTCTCTGACGCGTGGATCTTGAACCCACTGATTATAAAGAAAAGAATGGCCCTGGGGTTCAGCCATGGCTTCGGGGCCAGGGCTTCTGTGGATGCTCGGAGGAGTCTCGGGAGAAGCTAAACCTGGCTGCACAGACGTGAGCCGACGCTCAGAGAGAGCCAGCGACCTGGCCACCGGCACTCGGCCAGTCAGGCGGGGCCAACTCTAAGCAAAGCCAATCGCACAGCCGGTCACCCAGGGGCAGATTAGAATTCCCCTACCACGTTCTGTTGCTGGAGAAAATGTGGGTTTGTTGCTGCTTTAGACACAGCAGTGCACAGAGAACTGTGGGCCACGCACTGTCCAATCACCTGGCCAGCAACGACCCGCTCAGTCTCCCACACCAGTCCATGGGCATGTTCAGGTTCACCCAAGTCCCTCTGCACATGCAGACCCCAGGCCCAGGAAGGCTTGCAGATGCACTCCCAGGAGGGGCCAAGCTGGGATGCACACCTGGGCACCGGATTCCAGAATCCCCACCCTTAGCCACTGCCCCCCCGGGTGGCAGGTAAAAGAACAGGCACCAAGGAAAGGGACACGGGTTGGGCCTGTGAGTAGGATCAAGACTCACTGAATTAAGAGTCTATAAATCCCGTGGAGCACAGAGCACCGTCAACCCAAGCAGCAGACAGGGCACGAGGAGCCAGTGACGAGGACCACGCGCTGCAAACCCACAGGGACTGGGTGACTGCTCGTCTTCAGTTTTCCCATCTGTAAAATGGGGTTGATGATGTGGTACCCCCCACCTGTGGGGGTGTGTTCCCAAGACGTACCAATCTGTAGGTCCACTATACTTTCCCCATACACACTTACTTATAAAAATGTTTGATTTATGAACCAGACACAGCAAGGGAGCAGCAGTAATGATGAACAGTAAAGAAAATAATCGTAACCGTAAGCCATAATAAAATTTGGGTGAATGTGGTCTCTCTTCTCAAAATGTCTTCTACGGTACTCTCCCCTTTTGTGGTGGGGAGAGACGTTAGGATGCTTACAAATGAGATGAGGTGAGGCCAGTGGCGTGGACAGAGAGGCTACTGAGTCAGGGTTACCAGAACACAAGCACCTGGATGCGTCAATCTGATAAAGTCCGCTACTCAGTGACTAACGGGTGGGTAGCAGATACGGTGTGGATCCACTGGACAAAGGGATGGTTCTGTCCCTGGTGTGGGTCCACAGGACAAAGGAATGGTTCTGTCCCTGGTGTGGGTCCACAGGACAAAGGAACGGCTCTGTCCCTGGTGTGTGGATCCACTGGACAAAGGAACGGCTCTGTCCCTGGTGTGTGTCCACTGGACAAAGGAATGGCTCTGTCCCTGGTGTGGGTCCACAGGACAAAGGAATGGTTCTGTCCCTGGTGTGTGGATCCACTGGACAAAGGAATGGCTCTGTCCCTGGTGTGGGTCCACAGGACAAAGGAATGGTTCTGTCCCTGGTGTGGGTCCACAGGACAAAGGAACGGCTCTGTCCCTGGTGTGTGTCCACTGGACAAAGGAACGGTTCTGTCCCTGGTGTGTGTCCACTGGACAAAGGAACGGCTCTGTCCCTGGTGTGGATCCACTGGACAAAGGAACGGCTCTGTCCCTGGTGTGGGTCCACTGGACAAAGGAATGGTTCTGTCCCTGGTGTGGGTCCACAGGACAAAGGAACGGCTCTGTCCCTGGTGTGGGTCCACTGGACAAAGGAACGGCTCTGTCCCTGGTGGGACGAGCTGTCTTCGTCACAGTACTCAGAAGGCATAGAGTTTAGGTTATGAATTGTTCATTTCTGGAGTTTCCAGCCTGCAGGTGACCACAGGTAACCAAAATCACAGGCACCAGGGTCAGGGTAGGCGAGGCCACGGCACCTCCCTCCTGCCGCGAGCCGAGTGGAGCGCCCGGAAGGGCAGCGGCGCTCCGCCAGGGCTCCTCCCAGGTGGAGTGGAGCCTCTGTTAAGCCAACGTCCCCCACGACAGCCCGACCACCCTCTGAAAGTTGGGGTGAATCTGGGATGATTCAGGGCCTGGACCAGCCTCTGCCCGGGCGGAGTTAGTGACATCCACCGGGGCCACAGGGCTCCCGGTGACGACCTCGACTTCTGTAAGAAGCCACCGGGAGGTCTCGACCGCATCTGAGCTCATTTCTCTCCTCTCAGCTCCACAGGCCTCCCTGGGCCTCACAGGGACAG